TTAGATCCAGTGACAGGACCCAAAGAGTGTGAGTTCAATACTCGGCTAAGGCAGTGGAGAACTTTCAGAGGAGAATTAACAGGGGATAACTGATAACTGGCATTCATTAAACATGGCACGTTGAACTAGAACAGTCTACCACAGTGAGCGAAATAAAGGGTTCAGTTCGACATTCCAAACACGTGAAGAAAGCCGGAGCGTATAACGGCCAAAACGTTGTAAAAATATGGCGACAAAGATGAGGACAATAGTCCGAATAATGTAAATAGTGTACATAATACCTCATCTCATAAATGTAGACATAAATAAGCTCGGCCCGGTGGCTAGGATCAAAGTGTAGTATCTGCGCTTTGTGAGCTGCCAGATCGGGTGTCTGTCGAATTCTCTGCTTGCAAAGAGGAACCCGGACGAAGCTCCGCCGAAGGGTAGGGTTTCGTTGGGGGAGGTTAACGGAACTGGCCCGCCTAGGCGGGTTTGGATGGTTATTTATTTTTGGCTGGGTCTACGGGCTCAGAGATACCCACATTAAAAAGGCCTTGTGCCACATTCGATCCCCGTGGGTGGACTGATAAATACCATCTCATAAATATAGACAGACACTGAAAGGCCGAAACGTTGTAATAAATAAGGCGACAAAGATGAGGACAATAGTCCGAATAATTTAAATAGTGTACATAATACCTCATCTCATAAATATAGACAGATACTTAAAGGCCGAAACGTTGTAATAAATAAGCCGACAAAGATGAGGACAATAGTCCGAATAATGTAAATAATGTACATAATACCTCATCTCAGAAATATAGACAGATAATGAAAGGCCGAAACGTTGTAATAAATAAGACGACAAAGACGAGGACAATAGTCCGAATAATGTAAATAGTGTAGATAATACCTCATCTCAGAGATATAGACAGAACTGAAAGGCCGAAACGTTATAATAAATAAGGCGAAAAAGATGAAGACAATAGTCCGAATAATGTAAATAGTGTAGATAATATCTCATCTCAGAGATATAGACAGATACTGAAAGGCTGAAACGCTGTAATAAATATGGCGACATCTAAACTCACAGCGCCTGGTATTCTCAAGCGATCACCCATCTACGTACTGACCAGGCTCAACATTGATTAACTTCGGGGATCGTACGGGAACCGGTATTATAACGTGATCTGGCCAATAGATGAATCGAATGTTGATGATTAATAACTGTTCTAGATCCCTGGGATTTCTTAACATTTGGTAATTTTTTAATATATTGTAATTGTGACAATTGATGCATTTGAAGAATTCACGGTGTTTATCGTTTATTTTTTTGTGTATTATATTCTTCATTCTGTTGGAGATCGATATCTCAGATTTTACAAGCATCCGAAATTACTTAATAGTGAAAAAGAGGGAAGATCGTGTGTGACCAAATCCTCAAAATTCTTTTCTTTCTTTTGATGTGCCATGTCCTTTCAGGGCGTAGACGGTCATGGCTTTCCACCTCCCTCTATCCCTTGCAGATCTCAACAAGTTCCTTCCTTCTGCTTCCTCCCCAGACCACGTTCTGTCATCCACTTGCTTATGTCCGCCAGGTACGTCACGCGTTGTTTTCCCTTGTCTTTCTTTCCCTCTATTCGACCCGTCAATATCAGATTCTATAGTCCAACATTTCTCATTATGAATCCCGGAACCTTCAGCTGACTCTTCCTGATATTAAGTATAAGCCTCCTCCTTGTTTGCACCCTCTCTAAGATCTCATTGTTGCTCACACGCTCGGTCCATGATATCCTTATCATCCTTCTGTAGATCCACATCACTGTCGCCTCGAGTCTCTTCTTCATCTTTGAGGAAATCGTCCAACATTCGCTGCCGCAAAAAAGGACAGATGCTACGTTACAGTTCAGTCTTTCCTTAAATTAAATAAAAGAATAAATAAATAAAATGAAATTTAGATTTCAATTTTTGGTTGAACACCGATCAATGGCACCCGTGAAAAACACGTTACAACATCAGGAACAACGTATTTATCCGAATTCGAAGGCGTTCTTGCGATAAAATAAGAGGAAAGAAACTGTACAACTTAAAATGATCATCTAATTTTATACATTAGATAATTTTATTTGTTTGTTTTTTAAAGAGTCCGGCCATTTTTAAAATAAATGGTTTCAATTAAGATGTGACTGTCCGGGTCGCAGTTTTCTTCTGATTTATGGTAAGAAGAGTGGAATTTATAAGATCCAAAAGACTATAAAGTAAACGAAAGAAAATAAAGAAAGAAATAATTTACGAAAGACATGAAGAAAGAGAGGGAAATAGAAAGAACAAGTGAGAGAGAGAGAGAGAGAGAGAGAGAGAGAGATAGAGAAATAATGGGACCAAGAAAGAAAATGAAGAAAGGAAGAGCCAGATAAATGAAGAGAGACAGAGAGAAAGGAATAAAGAAACGAAGATAAATAGAGCGAGAAAGGAAGAGAGAAAGAGGGGAAAGAGATAGAACGAAAGAATGTAAGAAACAGAGAAAAAGAAAGAAAAAAAGAAAGAACAAAAGAAATGAAGAAACAGAGAGTGAGAAATGAAGAAAAAAGAAAATAGGTAAATTAGTAAAGAAAGAAAGAAAGAAAGAAAGAAAGAAAGAAAGAAAGAAAGAAAGAAAGAAAAATGGGAAATTATTGAAAGAAATGAAGGACTGAAACAAAAACTCAACGAAAAGAAGAAAAATACAGAATGATAGAAAGGAAAGCAGAAGGAAGACGGGAAAGAATGAAATACAAAAGAAAGAAAGAAAGTGATAGAGTAATAAGTAAATAGATAAAAAGAAAGACAGAAAGAAAATAAAAGAAATGAAGGAATAAGAAAAAGGAAAGAAAGGAATTAAAAAAGAAAGAAAGGAAGAAAGAAAATGAAACAAGGAGTGAAGACACGAAAGCAAGGACGAAAAAACGAAAAAGAAATCAAAGAAAATTCATTATGAAGAAAAACGACAAGAGAGCTAAAGAAGAAAACGAGAAATAAATAACCTACAAAAGAAAATTATGATGAAGAAAAGCAGGTCTATACCTAAAAATGAAGAAGAAAATATATTCAATAATAAAAGAGAAAAGAAAAAATAACCATGAAAAGCAAGATAGAACAAACGAAGGAAATTATGATTAGAATGTAAAGACAATAAAGAAAAGCCATAACAAATTGTACAAAACGCCGCATGATGCCTCAAAAAGAATTCAGAGAGAAAAAAAATAGAAGGTAAATAAAACAAGATTGGAAAAGCGATGCTGGGAAAAAGAAAACAGAAAGATGAAATAAGAGAATGTCTGAAAGACGGTTTGGAAAAAAAGAAACAGGAGAGAAAAAAAATGAATTGCCGGGAAAAGGGGGAAAAATAAGAAAAAGTAGAAAAAATAAAAGAAAAAGGTGGTGAGGATTCTAGACATTCAGAAAAAGAAGGATGATGAATGGTAAAACTTGGCAGCACGTCTAAAAAGATTAATAAAGTTTACAAGAGCAGGTTGGAGATTAACAATATGAAAGAGGGAGACAAACGAAGAGTAGTGGATTGAAAAAAGATGAAGAAGAAATAATTATGATGATGATGATGATAATAATAATAATAAGAAGAAGAGGAGGAGGAGGAAGAAGAATAAAGAAGAAGAAGAAGAAGCGGAAGAAGAATAAAGAATAAAGAAGAAGAATAAAGAATAAGAAGAAGAAGCGGAAGAAGAATAAAGAAAAAAGAAGAAGAATAAAGAAGAAGAAGAAGAAGAAGAAGCAGAAGAAGAATAAAGAATAAAGAATAAAGAAGAAGAGGAAGAAGAATAAAGAAGAAGAATAAAGAAGAAGAAGAAGAGGAAGAAGAATAAAGAAAAAGAAGACGAGGAAGAAGAATAAAGAAGAAGAGGAAGAAGAATAAAGAAGAAGAGGAAGAAGAATAAAGAAGAATAAAGAAGAAGAAGAGGAAGAAGAATAAAGAAGAAGAAGAGGAAGAAGAATAAAGAAGAAGAAGAGGAAGATTAAAGAAGAAGAAGAAGAGGAAGAAGAATAAAGAAGAAGAAGAGGAAGAATAAAGAAGAAGAAGAAGGGGAAACTTTTTAGGAAGAAGAATAAAAGAAGAAAAGAGAAGAATAAAGAAGAAGAAGAAGAGGAAGAAAATAAAGAAGAAGAGGAAGAAGAATAAAGAAGAAGAAGAGGAAGAATAAAGAAGAAGAGGAAGAAGAATAAAGAAGAAGAGGAAGAAGAATAAAGAAGAATACAGAAGAAGAAGAAAAACAGGAAGAAGAATAAAAAAGAAGAAGAAGAAGAGGAGGAAGAAGAGGAAGAAGAAGAAAAAGACGAAGAAGGAGAAGAAGACAAGAAAATGACCCGGAATAGGAACAAGTTTAAGAAAAAGAAGAAAGAAAATGAGATAAAGAAAAAAAAAACTGAGGGGGAAAAAGAATCACGACGAAGGAAGAAGATTAGGAAGAGGGTGGGGAGAAGGGTAAGACAAATTGGAATCCAGAAAAACAAATGATTAGGAAAAAAGGAAGAATTACGAAGAAAAATGGAAAGCTGACGATGAAAGAAAATTAGGAAAAAAGAAAATGAAAGAAAAAAAAGAAGGAGAGAGTGAACAAAATTATTAAAAGAAAAAGAGAAAATGAAGAGAAATTAGAATAATCAAAGAAGAAGAGAAGAATTAAAAATGATCTATGGAAGAAGGAAACGATTAGTTAAAAAATCAAAGAAAAATTCCAGAAGAGGAAAAAGATTAAGAGAAAAAGAAAAAAAAAAGAAGAAAAATAAAGAGAAAAGAAAAGTAGAGGTTTAGGAAAAAATAAGATACAAGAAAAAACTTAGGAAAGAAAGGGAAAGGGAAAATAAAGACAGAAAGCTGGAAGAAGAGAGCGGTTATGGAAAAGAAAAAAAAAGAAGAAAGAGAAGGTCATACGGAAAAGGAAGAATATAAGTGAAAAGAACAAAGAAAAAGAAAAAAAACAACTGTCCGAGGAGAGAAGGCCGAAAGACTTTGACGCCATATTTCTGAAGAACTAGTTGTAAATGGGCCACTTAAAAAAAAAAAAAAAGCACAAGCAAGGCACCAAAAAAATCAACTAGGATACAAGGGTTGGTGACAGTGAAAGAAAGAGAGACAAAAATAATAGAACACGGTTGAAAGAGACAGAAGATGACAATTAAAACTTTGGAAATCGTAGTTAAAAGGAAAGCAGGAATCAGTGTTTCAGAAGCTAGGAGTGCTGAAGAAAAAAAAATATTAGGATAGCACTTACGCTTACATCTCGCCATTTCAGCAGTGAAATATTGAAACCTAACTGGCAATCTAGTGCCGCACTTGAAATCGTGACGTCGACGTACAAAAGGGAAAAAACAAATCAGACCAGATACCGTTAAAATATTTATAGAAAAGGCAGACGGAAATACGCTACGGGTGTGGGAAAAGTCACTCAAGTCGAGATGCTACGTCAGGGTCGATAACGACGCATATTCCTCCTTGGATTTTGGCACGAATACCTATATATATATATATATATATATATATATATATATATATATATATATATATATATATATATATATATATATATATATATATATATATATATATATATATATATATAAGTATAGGATTGGTGCATATATATATATATATATATATATAAGTGTAGGATTGGTGTATAACAATAAATTCCAATAACCAAAACACAATTTTCTTTTTAAGAATGCTCAATACAGAGTGGAGCAAATATAATTTATTCGAAAATTGTGACATAAATATGTTATAAAATCCCTACAAAAATAGCCATTTTGTTTCAACACTTCTGGTGTCTTATCAAGTGATGGTGTTTTTGTAGATGCTACAAGTTTAACATCATATATATATATATATATATATATATATATTCTTGTCACGAATTCATATATATATATATATATTACGATAAACGTGCAATCAATTTACAAATACATGAATTATTCACACAAAACTAATGCAAAGGTTAATGCTTTAAATGGCGAGACATCCATCATCGCAAACAATTCAAATAGTATACAAAAACCTCCAGATCCAGATTCAACACCATATTTGGTATAAACGCAAACACTTTAAAATTTAAAATCAAACTTAGCGTTGCTTTGGCGCGTTCCAAAACCAATAACACATTTTCAATAGCATTTTCGGACACAACAACACATATATTTTCGTTGTCCTCTTATTACTAAGAGAAAAAACCAAGAACAACATCTATTCTGTACCTGAAGATGTCTGTAGGAACAGACGAAAGCTTGTAGTAAAAATAACAACTAATACGGCAGAAATTTATATAAACAAGGATCAATTCATTCATAAAGGATCTGGAGGTTTTTGTATAGTATTTGAATTGTTTGCGATGATGGATGTCTCGCCATTTAAAGCATTAACCTTTGCATTAGTTTTGTGTGAATAATTCATGTATTTATATATACATATATATATATATATATATGTATATTAGAAGAGTTAGTCGAAATGTTGCATCAATATCTGATACAGAGACGACTGGTAAAATTAATAATTGTGTAAAATAGATTTTGGTGATAAATATTGTCCGGCACGAAATTGTGAAGTCGATTTTCTTGCTGTCTAGTCATACATCCAACCGGAATTAAGGAACGTTGAGTCTTGTTTGTATTTAAATGCGTGACCGCTTGCGAATACCAAGTGATGTAATCATGGTTGTGCGGGTGGTGTGATGAGTAGCGGTTCGGAATTCGAAATAAGAGATCCGAGTTCAGATTCCAGTCGTGTTTGTTCGATTCACTTTCGCGCGAATACGCTCTTCTCTCTCCAACAATGGCTTGAGTTAAGGGTCTCCAAATAGAAAATAATTATTATCTAAAAAAAAAAAAAATTCTTACAACCCCAAAAAATTTCCTGACTTTAAATACCTGCAAGTGGTTTATGGATCGTATAAATGAATCAATCAATCCAAAAAAAGATAACCCTAGTAACAGACTTAGCACTTGATTCAATATAATACTTCTACTTTATGGCCACCAAACGGCTTTACGTTAGGAACATAGGAATTTTATTTTATTTTTCGTGTCATTCGGCGTTTAACTTATCAGGTATTAAACGAAACAACGTGGTCGAGAGAAATCACCCTTTTTTTTAAGCATTACGCCCCGAGCAAGGCGTGAAGCCATTAGAATGCAGGGGGTTGCAGAAGATTTGGAGCAAGAGCAGATAAGAGTAATAGAAGAAAGGATGAGGAGAAGGATAGTGGATAGATCAAGGTAACTGGAGATATCGATTGACATTACATTAGAATAGTTGGAGATTATAGCTCTCAGGGAAACAGTAATTGGGAAGGGTGTTCCACAGGCGAGAGGTGCGAGGTATGAAGCTACTGGAGTAGAAGAGACGGCTACATTTAAAAGTTTCTACAGTGTAAGGATGGGAGCGGGATGCCAGCCTCGTAGGGCGCTTGAATTCATGGAGTCTGGGAAGCAGTGAAAGCAGCTCATCGGAGCAATTACCATGAAAATATTTGTAGAAAAGGCAGAGAGGCGACGGCTCGTCTGTGAGAGAGTGACTGTGGACCCTACGCCAGATCAGGAAAACTATATTACATATCCTTCTCTGGATCTTGTCAAGAACTCCGAGGTAAGCAGAAGGTGCTCCATCCCATATATGACAGCAATACTCCATGCAAGGGCGAATGGTTGTTTTGTATATTTGAAGTATCGATCCCGGGGAGAAAAATTTCCTGGCGCGGCACAAAGAGCCAACTTTCCTCGCGATGGAAGAAGCAATTGACTCAATGTATTTGTTCCATCTCAGGTCAGCAGTCAACGTGAGACCGAGTAGACGCAGGGAGTTGATCTCAAGAAGTTGTCTATCAGACATTCTCATGGTGGGGGGAATGATCTCTATGGTGATTAATAGAGAGTAATTTAGTTTTTGAGGCGTTAAAGTTGACCAGCCAATTCTTGCCCCAATTAACAACCGATTGGAGGTCCATTGAGCGGCCAGGTTAGTTTTGTCAGTGACACTAGATTTGTTTTTGAGGCAGGACTAAATTGTAGTGTCGTCCGAGTAGATGTCAACTTGGGAATCTATTTTGTTTTAAATTCCCTGTTTACCAATTCTGCTTTGGCGGCACCGAACTAAATTTATGGCAAAGAGTGAAGTCGAAGCCGCTTAAATAAGATATCAAATGCTGTAAAAATACGAGGTTATTGTTGAGAATGTATTCCTCCGAATTGCGATAGTAGATGCCCTGGATGACGACAAGAGGGAAGACGAATGACTTTTGTCATGATTCTCAGGGAAAACAAAGACAATTTGTGTGATGTCATTGATTTACATAAAAGCGTAAATTCAGCGAATTGCGATAAATAATGGTTTCTTCCTTTATTAAGTAATGGGAATTTTCCTCGCATATATCGGCATGGCTTATGGTATTTCTCTACCACCGGAGCCGTCTGGTACGGGAGATTGATGGTACTTTGTATCTGTAGCCATTGCGCTTTTAATAATTGAAACATTACCCATACAGACTTAGAGCCACATCATGTTGAGACAGCGGTTCGCGTACGATCAACGAAGATAAGCAACGTCGATTGGTTGCTTGATATTCTTAGGGTCATATCAGTATATCTGTTTGTTATTTAATGCCGAAATCTAAATTTTTTGTATGTAATTTTATGCCTTCAACTACAGATATGTTGTACATAAGTTTATACTTTCAGGGCAAAGGTATGATTTCTAGACATGTAATTTGTTTATCCTAAAATGTATTGCTGATAATGTTACTATAAAAAATGTATTCTTATATTTTTCTACTGTTGTTTTGATTGTCATTCTGCTATAAAAATGTAATGTTGGTCATTTTATTATAAAATCAACTGCTAATTTGTGTTTGGGGTTTCACTATTAGCCCGTAGTTGGGTCCCTAACAGGTGCTAACACCCCAGGTCAGGGTGGACCTGGGAACAACAATAATTAAGACGTGGTTCCACGCTCCACAAAACCTCCAATCTCCTGTTCAGATCTTGATGCCGGATGTAGTTTAATATCATACGCAGGACACAAGCAATGTCGAACTTCGTCAGTACGTACATGGGTAACAGCTTGGGAATACTAGGTAATATAAGCTTGGATGTGCGGATGGTGTAATGCTTAATGACTCGGAGTTAGAAATCAGGTCCCTTATATTCACATACGCGCAAATATTCTCAGGGAAAGATATGAATCCACTTCTTCTCTTATAATTTCTTGTTTATCAAATTCTGATTAGGTCTGAATCCACCAATTTTCCCCATCTATGGGTTAAATAGTAAGACTTTATCACTAAACCATTTTTACCAGAAAGTAAAAATTAAAAATTTTCGTACATTCTAAAAATATGTTCTGGCTTTAAATAACGTGCAAAGAGTTGATAAACCATAAAAAAAAACGAATCAATCTGTTTATCAGACAGAAATTCGTGAATTTGGGACTGAATCATTTATTCAATGCAAATGTAACCAAAAAGTACATCCATTCCAATTCCTACCAACGTAATTGTTTATAACTCAAAATAGCATTTACAAAAAAAAAAATATCAATAATAATTTCTCAACTAATAAAAGACTCAAGAGCCTCCAGAGGTAGAGTGTTATAGTTTGATTTATGTAAGAGAATTTCCATTTATTGATACATTTTTTGTAAATATTTTACTCCCAGGCCCGGAAATAAAACCACGGATATTACGGTTACATCTAGCCATTTCAACAGTGAAATATTGAAACCTAACTGGCAATCTAGTGCCGCATTTGAAATCGTTAGGTGTTACTTTGAGTATGAATAAATATTAGAAAAAGAAAAACGTCATTAAGGATATAGAATAATAAAAGAACAAGAATTCGGAAAGCAGGAAATAACAATTGACATTGCATTTACATTTCGGAAGATAAAAGTTAAGTGGGAAGCAGGAAGACGGAAGAGAATTTCACAAGCGAGAAGTACGAGGAAAAAAATCATTAACGCATAAATTAC